GGGGTGAGGGTGGAGTTGTTACTATGTACTGGGAATAGATTTAAGTCATTTTTTTCAGGGGGTGGGATTTTGTTTGTGCGAACGAAACCTATTTGCTGATTCAGGTTTTGTCATGAATTATTTCCTCCTGGTAGAGAATTACGGCTGCGAAACTTGGAAGACAACAAAGACCGTACTGAAAAAGTCCAGACTTTCACAAACAAATGTATGAGGAGTATTCTAAGAATTAGATGGCAGGATAAAATAAGAAATGAAGAGCTGTGGGAAAGGACAGGACAAAAGGATATAGTTGTAGAAATAGGACTAAGAAAGTGGCGATGGATGGGACACACCCTCAGAAAGCCCAGTGGAAACATCACAAGACAGTCGCTGCAATGGAACCCACAGGGAGCACGAGGCAGGGGTAGGCCACGAATAACATGGAGAAGTGTGGAAAGGGACATGAGAGAGATGAAGCTCACTTGGAACGAGCTTGAAAGGATGGCCCAGGACAGAGATAAATGGAAGGAGCTTGTATGTGGCCTATACCCGGCCAATTCACAGAGTGTTTTATTACTGATGTTTTCTTATCTTATGAAATGTGTCTTATATGTTTGGGTTGTTGGCTGTTATCAGGGAAAGAGAGGGGGGAAAGTGGGCGGGAGGGACACAGAGAGTGTGACTAAAAGGGAGAGTGTGATGGTGTATGTGTGTGTGTGTGTGTGTGTGTGTGTGTGTGTGTGTGTGTGTGTGTGTGTGTGTGTGTATGTGTGTGTGTGTGTGTGTGTTTTATTCTCAACGACGGGGACAGGTTATGTCTAAATACATAATATTGTACATGTACTCGGGGCTCGAAAGAGAGGCCTCACGAATAGACACAAGAACAATATGTACTATTTTTGTCGTTATAATATTTTCTATATTATTATTGGACATGTATTATTATTGTCTTTATATGTTTTGGACATGTATTATTATTGTCTTTATAATATTTTCTTTATTATTATTGTGCACATTAAATAATTTGGAAAAATATCTTCTTTTTTTTTGGTTGTTGAAATATAACAATATTGTCGCTTTGAAGCACAAGGGGGCTATCTCGAAAATTGCTGTTTTGAGAAAATCGAAGGTAAAGTTTCTGTCCCTTGTTCAGTTTCTTTTTAAGATATGGAGAGTTTTCTCTATAACCAAACAATAAATGTACACACCAAAGAAACTAAACTTCTCCTGCTATAGGTAGGGCAATGCCCACTCTTGGTGTAGGTCAAGATTTCTGGGAACCCCCGAAACTGGGTTAGCCCATTTGTCCTTAAAAGTGACCGCATACGTGTCACGATGTGATGGAACCAGGCTCTCGTCAATTTTGGGGCATTTTGGAGTTATGGTATCATCTCAAAGATTGTTCATTTGTCTTGTTTTGGATGAAAAAAATCCATTTATCTTGAATACATGTACAAGTCGAGATATTTGCCACTGAAGAAGTGGGATCGCCTGGTTCCAGGGGTAAAATTAGCGAGAAAATGGCCGTCAAAGTGGGATGACTTATATAATATAGCTTAAAGAGTTATTGGAAACTGCACATTCAAATTTGTTGTGACTTCGTTGTTTTTTGTTTTAGTAGAAGTTTTACGGCGCTCGCAACTGCATAAGGTCATATGAGCGCCAGAAGATTAGAGGTGTTACAAGAGAGTGACAAACATAAAAAAGAAGTAGGGGAGATAAGGACGATAGACCAATGTTTGATAGGAAAGAAGAAGCAAACCACACCAGAACCCCCGCCAACCACCCACTGTTGTGTCTTTAATCAACGTTTTTCTACTTTTGAAGGGACACACAAGGGGTTGAGCCAAAAAAACAAAAAATCCCAACTGGTCGGAAAATGCCGACTTCTCAGATTTCATTATTTCGACGACAGCCTGATTTAGTTTTAGTAAGAGTTTTACGTCACCTGCAACACAATAAGGTCATATAAGTGCCGATGATTAGAGGTGTTACAAGAGAGTAACATACACAATAAGGTCACATAAGTGCCGATGATTAGAGGTGTTACAAGAGAGTAACATACACAATAAGGTCATATAAGTTCCGAAGATTAGAGGTGTTACAAGAGAGTAACAAACACAATAAGGTCATATAAGTGCCGATGATTAGAGTTGTTACAAGAGAGTAACATACACCAAAAAAAGGAGGGGAGATCAGGACGATAGAAGTTTGATAGGAAAGCAGGAGCAAACAACACCAGAGCACCCGCCAACCACCCACTCAAGCAGGGTAGTAACAAAGATCGTACATACCAAGATAGTTCACTCTTCTCTTTGAGCCAATTAAAAAAGTGTCCTCAAAATTCAGAGACGCCCTCTTTGAAAAAGTGCAGACTTTGCGATCAGAGTTACCCTACGTGTGTGAGAAACAATAAAAGTGAAGCTTACAAACTGGGATATTCCTATTTTTCTTCTGGAGAAACGAAAGAGAGCTTCAAAACAAAGACTGCAGGGCCATCTGAACCAATGCGCGGACTTCCGCGGACACTTTTTTGGCAGAGTGAACTATCTTGTTGTGTACGATCTTTGGTAGAGTGAACTATCTTGTTGTGTACGATCTTTGGCAGAGTGAACTATCTTGTTATGTACGATCTTTGGCAGAGTGAACTATCTTGTTGTGTACGACCTTTGGCAGAGTGAACTATCTTGTTGTGTACGATCTTTGGCAGAGTGAACTATCTTGTTGTGTACGACCTTTGGCAGAGTGAACTATCTTGTTGTGTACGACCTTTGGTAGCAATGAAAAGTTCACACAGATGACGACAACAAAAGTGAGAAGAAACAACATTCCTTTCGTTCCGTTCCATCTTTTTATTTCGTCTTTTTGCAATAACAAACATGACACAAAGCATTAACCCCAAGAATCAAGTAATTAAAAAAGAAAAATAACAACAAGTAGAGAGCGGGGAGAGAGAGAGAGAGAGAGAGGGAGAGAGAGAGAGATAGAGAGAGAGAGAGAGAGATTCAAAGAGAGAGGGGAGAGAGAGAGAGAGAGAGAGAGAGAGAGAGAGAGAGAGAGAGAGAGAGAGGTGGGAGAGCTTCAAAGAGAGAGAGAGAGAGACGGGGGGGAATAGACACCATGTATAACAAACAAACGAAAAGACTGACAAACAGACCAGCAGACAGAAGAGTGAAGGGATGAGAAAGGAACAAACAAAGATGGGTCGTTGATAGAGAGAAAAATTAATTTTTAAAATGAAAATAGAGAGACAATCTGTCCCCTGGGTTTTATGCACCCCGCATAATTTAGTTAAATTTGATCATAGTTTTTTTGTGTATAATTTCTGATTTATTTTCCTTTATCATTCTTTGTTAATATTAACAGAATCGCATAATTTCACATTTTTGGGCTCAGTTTGCAGAATTTCATCATTTTTTTTTGGGGGGGGGATAACACCGCGGGGACGGATGTAGACATTGTGTCTGAAAAAACACTCCCCACATCCCCACATCTCGCCTTCCTCTTTTTGGACAAGAGACATAGTTCTGGCTTTTAGTTTTAGTAGAGGTTTTACGGCGCTCGCAACCCCATAAAGTCATACAGGTACTGAAGATTAGAGGTGTTACTAGAGAGTAACAAACACAAAAGAAGGAGGACAGAGATAAAGACGATAGATGTTTGATAGGAAAGTAGGAGAAAACTACATCAGAGCACCCACCAACCACCCACTTTTGGACAAGAGTACAAGACACATTGTTCTGGCTTCAAAGTTTGGCAAAATGACAGCACAGCAGATCTTCACATAATATTAAAGTTATCAAAACCCTTTGATCAATTAGAAACATGCAGAAACAAATAATAATTCATCTCAGAACTTCAAAGCTTCAAAGAAAGATCGTTTTGCCACGTCCTGACCAACCAGCCAGACCAAACATTGAGCAAAAACACAGCACAGAAAGATCAACAGTTTTCTCCATCTCAGCCAACTCGCAACTGGACACAAAATATCCTGTACTGGAAACTCGAGAATATTTCTTTTTGCTTCCGCTTTAGTTTTTTTTAGTAAGAGTTTTACGGCGCTCACAAATGCATAAAGTCAAACGAGCGCCAGAAGATTAGAGGTGTTACAAGAGAGCGTGTCAGTAAATATTCTTCTCATCTCGGCAG